CTTTGGATTTGAGACTTTAGTCTTTGCAACTTTACAGATCTTCTTTATGCACCAAGAGCTTGTAACACTCCAAAGAGAAAGGAAAAATTGAAATCGCATCATATGACCCCTTTAAAACAAATTAACCAAAATACTAGATTCAAAGATTTGAAATGTACACCATGACAACACAACTATTGTACGAGTATAGAAAGAAAGAAAAAAAGTAAAAGCAGTTTCAAAAAGGCCATCGGAGTCAAGAGAGGTGTAACATGGGTTGGACTAGTGTTGTCACGGTACCAAAATTTCAGTATTCGGTACCAATAACAGTGAAAATCCACGGTTCTCGGTACCAATTTCGGTACCAAAGCAAAACACAAAAACATGCTAATTGAACAACATTTTGGTACTTAAAAAAACCTGGTACCATAACGTTTTCATTTTTTTAGTACCGACTTGGTACCGAAATACCGGGTCTTTTGACAACACTAGGTTGTACCAAAATGTATTTACTGATAATTTAGGTGAAGTTGTAGTTTTAGCTATTCTTTCTTCTGTTGAGCAAAACAGAAGATATTTTTGAAGAATGTTGTTAACCAAACAGTTGACAGTAGCCACTGACTTTTTTTTTTTCATACTATGGAAGTCAATGGCTATCGTCAGCCGTTTGGTCTAAAATATATTTTTTTGTGTTCAACATAAGATATTCATACAGGTTTGGAACAACATGAGGGTGAGTAAATGACAATTTTAATTTTGATGTGAACTATCCCTTTAAGATGCGGTCACATTTACTCTTGTTCGGTGAATTTTCTTGGTTAAGTCCAGTCATTACACGAGGGCAAAAAAGTTTTCACTTAGATTTTGCTCGTGTTCAAATTGGTCACTCAAATTTCCTGCTTCTTTTTGCAGAAATGTTGCTATTGTGAACACATTGAACACATTGAGAGAAATGCCATGAATTGATCATTTTTTCCCCGTAATCTTTATTTAAAATTTTTCTATTTGAAATTTTTACGTGACAGTACTTTTTGGATGAACGGCATTGTCAGTATGACAATATAGTGCTAACTAGCAGCATAATGTGTCACATTACACCTTAATAACATTGATCATACAAATGAAAACTCACAATGGAGTTATTCCCTAAAATACAGTCTGTGTAAATTCAGAAACCTGTTATTAGCTTTAATATTTAAAATCCCTTAATGTGATTTAAATAAACTTTTCAAGTCCAACAAAGTGCTAGCTAAAGTTCTACAGCATTTCCATGTATTTCCTTATTGACTGTTAACATTTTTAAACAAGTTTGAGGTTTAAATAACATTAAACAACAGATGGTTCCCAGCACTGAGGTTGGCATCATTATCCTAACTCTTGGTCTTACGGGCTGCAGTCCATTATGCTTTCTGGCCAGTACTGGTCCTGCATGTAGTGCTCGAGGGAGTTGCTGGAGTTTGAAGTATGGTTGGTGTTTGAATCCCGGGACAGTATGTCCTTTTCCCACTGGTCCTCTACCAGCTTGTACAGGTCCATGGCAGCAAGAGCATCCTCTACAGAGCAGTGACCCATTCTACCAGACTAAAAGAAATATCCAGCATGTAAACATCGAGGAGCAGGTAAAAAGAAAACGTATATACACTAAGCTGGATGTTCCAACTTTCTCTCATGAAACGACCTGTTCTGCTGCACAGTCTTACCTGTATGGTCCTATTGAGAAGTTTCCGAGACAGTTTCTTCAAAGAGACATTATATCTAATGGAGGCATTATACAACCTTCGCAGCACCCTGCAGGAACAGGTATCTCTAATCATATGTGGTGGGACGGAGATGTCAAGAACCAAGAAGTCATTAAATAAGGCATGGCCAACAATAATCTTCCCTGTGAGGATGTCAACAATCTAAAAAAAAAGACAAAAAGCACAGTGTTATTTCAGCAATATTCTAGCTCAACGATTTCCAAAAGTTGAATTATTTATTTCCACACACACAGAGATATATATATATATATATAATTAAAAACAATATAACATAAAAAATGCTTAAATATTTGTCAGATAATTTTTATACAGCGTTTATGGTTTTAACAGTAATTTATGGTCTTAACTGTAAATTGTTCACAAAACATTATACAGTATAAACTTTAACAATATATGATAGAAATAAAACTAGAATATTTTATCTAAATAATCAAACATTGAGTATAATATAGATTACAGAAAAAAGAATAGTAAGAAATAATGCAACAAATTTTAATTTCAATTTCTTTTATAAACAGCTATCATGTGTTATATAAAAGTAAATAGAAATGCATTTTTTTTTAAGTAAAATGTACCATACTTAAAAATAATTATCATTTTTTAAAATGTACTATTATTTCTTAATTATTTCATTCATATAAATCAATATTAATAAAACTTCAGCTTAAATAAAATAAATACATATATTTTTGTGAAAAAAAAAAAGAAAAGAAAAAGGAAAATATTGGCATGGCAAGTAAACATCTGTACTACTGGCTTCATTGTGCCAGCAGGGGGAAAAAAGTCCTTATTGTTCAAAACTACTACACACAATATCAAATTAAAGCAGAGCAAATAAACCCACACGAACAGAAGCTTGTAAATACAGTGCAGTTACATATAGTGCCGCCTCACTTCATTCTGAGCATCCTCAAAAGCCACTGCCTGTTGTAAATGATGTTTCCTAATGCCACTCCATCTTGTGCGGTAGTCTGTGACTGGATGCCGAGGTAAAATATATTTATCATACACAACACTACCATAATAATTTACTATACTACAGCGTGCCACTTCACTACACTTGCCGCCAGGTCCAGTCCCGACCATTTCACAGTCCACAGCTACGAGCCTAGAGTGGTCTATTCCTACACATGGCGAACTCCTGCCACTAGTGGGAGGACTGGATTCAGATGAAAAGCCACTATCCACCTCCCAGCTGTCACTGAGCTGTAGTGCAGACTCAGCTTCACCAGTCAGTGTATGAGAGGTTATTCTGGGTCTTTTGAATCGCACATGATTTGACTGTTCAGACACAGAATCCAAGACATCTCTATGTCTAACACACTCCGTCTTGTTTCCTAGAAGCTCAACTGACTTTCTTTTATTTCCTCTTTTTTGTTCAAATGATACT